TTGGTGCCAGGAAAAGTCATTACATCCTTCAGCAATCAGTAGCTTGTCTGAACAGCCAGGATGCAGTACAGTATTCGAATTGGCCAACCTTTGTGGATCTGTGCAAGTGCAGGCAGAGAATTTGTAGTGGAGACCTTATCAGGTATACACCAAGAGGGGGGGGGGTTATCAAAAGCGGAGCAGACTGAAACTGGAGCAGTTGTCCGTGGCAACCAATCAGTGTCTCTCTTCAGTTTGCTCAGTTGGAATTTGAAAATGAGAGATAGAAGCTGATTGGTTGCAGTGCAAAAATTACATGACTGCCCTGCCTTTAGTGGCTAACTTACACATCTCTGCATTTAATTCAGTACCAAAAAAAGGCAAGCATTTAAAAATATAAAAGTCAAATTAAAAACTACTTTCCAGTACATTTATAGCTCAAAGTATGAGCTCACTGAAAATACAGTGTACTCCCCCTTTAAGATCATTTTCTGCATCATGCTTTATATTGCAACATCCGGAGAAAGAAAAATCACACACAGAAGCTGTTAATCAGGGACCCGATTTAATTGTTCCAGCCATTGCCAAAATTAAAATATGCTTTAACTCTCTTCCAGATGTCCAGATAGACTGTAAAATACACAGCTGGCAACAGGCGATCCGAGATCACGACGAAACAGATTAGAACGCTGCTGTGTGTTCTCCTGGGATTACACCGAGAAAGGTGGCAAGCCATCTGATTAATTAGAAAAGGCAATAGCAGCATGTGGATCATGTGTCTATGAATCCACATAATGGCATCCTGTTTTATGCCTTGCAGCACGGCCTGTTCAGGACATATGTCCTGTGTCAAGAGCTTTCCATTTCAACATGCTCATCTGAACAGTGCAATAACCCAAAGAAACCGATCTGCAACTTCCCACATTTTCTACAAGAAAGTTATAATCCAAATATTTGCCTTTGGTTACAGCCCTCAACACATTGGTGCTCCTTTCTCTGCTTGGCACTTATTTGCCGCAGTGCTCTGTATAGAGTCAGTAGAGCCAAACTGAGGATATGGGAGGTGATCTAGCCGATGCACCATTCTTTTCACAGTCCTAGAAGTACCATAAAAAATGGGGTTTTAAGGGTAGTCCAAAAAAGTATATGAATCTATACATATTTATATATTTCATTCCAAATACAGTTTAACCCCTTCATGACTGAGCTAGTTTTTAGTTTCTGTTCCTAAATGACTGACACACTTTTCACATTTTTACATTTTTGCTGTGATTCTTCCACAGCAGCAAGTTTTGATTATTATTATTTTTAGAATGTTTTTAATAATAATTATAGTATAAAAATATATAGGGCCAGGCAATACAGCTGTCAAAACGAATAGCAGAGAGGTGAGTCACTGCTACCTCTCTGCTATCTTCAGCTGTCAGATACGGGATCACTATTTAGCGAACCCGTATCTGAATGTAAAGGCTTCATTCTTTCATGAATGAAAGAAGTTTTCACAAAAGCTTAAATATTTCATTAATGAATGTCCCAATAGTGAGGCATTCATTAATGACTGGAACTGCTGAAAATTAGCAGTTACCAGCATTACAGAGGCTAATATAACTCGGCACGTACAGTGTACGTGGCCAGTCATATAGCCACTCTGACGGGACGGTACGTCTCCCGTCACAAAGGGGTTAAAATCACATCCACATTATCCACATACTCTGTGAGTATTGTCTAAATCAGGCCTTCTTAACTTTTTACACTTGTGGCCCCTTTTCGCCCGAGGAAATTTTTATGTGATCCAAGGTATGTAGGTATATAAAACAGGTATACAAATCAAACATTTACTGATAATAAAGACATTTAATTTGAACAATTCTTTGGTATATCTCCCCCCGCAGCATC